TAGACCATTGCCCATTATTAATTTATAGTAGCAGTTGACCTCAATAAAATTAACTCATCTATTTAATAAATCTGCACATAATTAGTTCCATTTTCTTGTACTATAATAACATTTTTGCTATCATGGGACGTTGAGCTTTATAAATAAAAACTTTTGGAAGATGGCTTTCACTCTACGACAGACAGCCTACTTTTGGTCTGTTTATATGGGGTTAACCCAACCTAGATTAGCTATATTTCTTTAATTACTTTATTGTTATTTAAGTATTTACATTAGAAAATGGTGGCCGCACAGGACACAGCCCCAATTATTACAGCTACCATATAACAACCTAGCTTGGTTATTCAATTTGTGTGAGACTGTTGAGGCAAACATGGGCTTGTTGGAATTAACAAAGCAGCTAAGCAAAAAAAATTTTCACACAGTCAAGCAAATCTCAAAGTCATGCCATCTAGAAACATTAATTGATTGAGCCATTTGAGGTTTAAATGTGTAAAAAAATATTAAATACAACATATTGTCATGATCCATCATCACCGCTCTAATCCTATTTGAGCTGCCATTAATTACCAACTGAACTACTGGAGATTCAGGGATATTTTATATTTGACAAGGCAGACAGTAGAAATTTGAAGTAATCTGGCATCACTACCTACCAATATACCTTAGTTATATAAACCTTCTTTCCTCTTGGGCTGGCCTGCCTGGCCAAGACTCTTTTCCAAGCCTTAGATCTTGGATAACAGCTGAGGATTAAATAATTAATACATAATTCACATCAATCTATTGATATAAATAACATTTCTTTATTTTCTTAGGGGGTGTTTATATGGAGGAGAGCCAGCCCTGATACCCAGTGAGGTAGCTTGTTTGCCGAGATCTAACATCGCTATGTAATTTATACTAACATTTATCTTGTGTTTAAATGGGAACCGAGCTGGCCTACCTAGGTGAGATCTTGAAAAATAAAAATATATATTTACTTATATTATACTATTTATAGCGGTAAGACCAATCATTTGTGTTGGCAAGACAGCCCACCTCAAAAGTCTCATTTAAACATTGGATAAGCAAAGAGATGTAGCTCAGCAAAGAGATCTAGCTCGGGTACCTGTATGGCCTGATTCACCTCCATAAAAAACACCCCATTAGAAGATTTCAAAGTTAAAATTTCTTTTGAAATCTCTCTGAGGGATAAAACCTTCAAAGCTTTACTGTTGACAAAAATTTCATGTAGACAGTATCCAGGAAAATTGCCTTTTCATATTGTAAGGCAAAAATTATGTACATAATTTCAGTAATAAATAAAATGAACAACTTTACCAATGGCAAGTGAGAGTCTTTATGGATATAGTGACAGTCTTTGCAATTTCACATCATGATGAGCCAAAAAACCCAAACGTTGATGAAATAAAGAATAATAGATTAATTCCTAATTATTTACAAACATGTAGCAGTACCTTTTGCATTTATATTGTGGAAAAATATCTATATTTTTATTTTATTTCTGTATATTTTTCTCAGAAGAATGATAACAAACTGCGCAATACCGCGTGCAACCCCCCTGCTAAGAGACTTGGACTAGTATAATAACTGTATATAACATGAAGTTTCCTGAACAAAATGGCTGAAATTTAAAAAAAAAATGTTGATGTTTGATCGTAAAATTAAAAAAAACTGCGGGTCTGTGCGAGTGACAACAAGTGAATTCGTACTCAGCGTATCAAAATCTATAGATTCATGTAAACTAAAAGTAGGTCCCGAATGGGGGCAACGAAATTTGTTTTCTAAGCGACTTTTGGAGTCACATAATACGGCCTAATTATGCAGTGTCCTCAGGTATATTTTACGATATACAATTTCGTTGATAATGTAGTCTCCTGCGCAGACGTGATTATAAATTTTCACGATGCAAACGATCGACAATAATTTAAATAAATTCAGGTACTAAGGATAGCTTTATTTCTTTCTGGTATTGAAACAATATGATTTCATGAATAGCATTTTTAATATAAATACATAGTGTAGATCGTCTTAATGTTTACATTTATAGCGAGATTTATAGTATACAAGCAGTGAAAATGTACTTTTAGTTTACTGTTTGTGTGGCGATGTGCCAAGGCAATGAATTTATATATAGTGTTCATTCTAGATGTCAATGTGCTTTCAGCACGTCTTAAAAACAAGCACGGACTGTTGTGTTAAAGCGACGTGTGACTTTATAATACTTCGACAAAGCGATCGACATGTAATATTGGATGGCACACTGCAGGATTTATATACCTTTTAGGAGTTTCTTTCACGTTACTATTAGCGCTCGAGGTTACAATATATATTTAGTATTAAACAATAAAAGTGTGCTAATAGGCGTGCCTTTGCTTTGTTTATTTTTACATTTGACAGTATGGGCAACAATTCACTTGCCACTCCTCCCTGAGTGTTTTTAAAACGCTAATTTAAAACACCCCAGATTTTGGGGTGTCGCGTGAACAGCCCCAACCAGGATCTTTCCGCAGCGTTGGGCGTGCGAAGGTAAGAGCCTGGGTACGAGGTTGCATCAATTGTTTACACAGTTTTCCACGCCTTATCTGTAGTTTGTCCAAGTTGAACAATTCTGAAAGATCGTCATAATTTCTTCTCCAGGATTAATAATTTTAAACGCTCTTCTCTGAACCGATACAATTTTATAAGAAAGATATTCAGGTATATAGCCTGCCAAACTTGTACAGCATATTCTAATATTGGTCGTATAATTGCAAGATAGACCTTCAACATTTTGTCTGTTCCAATGCCAGCTTTACGTAATACACGTAAAGAATATAATCTTTTACATGCTCTTCCATATATATAAGCAACGTGTTCTTTCCATTTTATTAATTAAAATAACTCCAAGACGTTTATATTTCCTTATTCTCTCAATTGTATTCTTTCCTATATTTATAGGTGTCAGTACCGTAGCGTTGTACTATAAAGGGTTTATTACCATCTCATTGCATTTCTTGGGTTGAGTTTCATATGGTTGTTTTCGGCAAAATCATTAACGTTACCTGCTACTGTATTAGTCAGACTGATCGCAATCCTTGGGATTATTTCTAGGGTTGTTGTATCATAGTACAAATTTTGTTCTTAGCCTCCAGTCAGTAAGCAGCTCATTTGTCATGACAGAGAGCAATATTACACCCCAGTTTTAATTCCCTGCGGGATTCCGCCATTCGGACATTTCCGGCATTCTGTTAGAAAGGAATTCTGATACCCAATTCGTAAGAGCAGGATGTATATTAAGTTTTTGGTGATTCCCCTTGAGTATATTTTCGTGTATTAGATCAAAACCCTTGGAGAAGTCGGTAGAGAAAATCTGGGCTATACTGTTCCCTTTGTCAATTGCCTCAAAAATGGGTTGGAGGAGGCTTATTATTGCGTCGTCTGTTGTTGACAGCCTTTTACGGGCAAACTGTCGTTTATCAATTGTCCCCCTCTAACTGTGGTAGAAAGCGTCTACAAAACAGACCTTGCATTACTTTCGCCAGTGTCCACGTAAGTAATATCGGACGTATATCTTTTTCAATTGTTTGCGGTGGGTTTTCTTTTGGTATGGGAGAAATAGTGGAGCATCTTGGTAATAGGGAACATAGCCTTCGATCAATGACTGATTGTAAATATCTTGTGTAACTATGGCTTATTCCTGGTCAAATTCCTTTGGCACCTTATTTGGTAGGTTGTCTGGATCTACTTATTTAGACAGTTTAATGCTCTTTAGTGAAAATTTAACCTCTTCTACAGGGGGTAGGTATTTTTCGAGTTAAGCCCTTCGAGTTAAGCCCTTTTCTAGTTAAGCCCTTTTCGAGTTAAGCCCCTGCCACGCCTAACTCAGCTTGCCAAAACATAACAGATACAAATATTTCCACTAATTACCGACGACAACTAATAACAATGGACCAATCCCCAATTAACCAACAAGTCAACAAGTCTAGACAAAAATTTCATCACAGCTTAAAAGAACATCACAAAATTAGTAATACTCCAAAGTTTCATTGCAAAATGTTGTAAAATTCGGATAATATATCCTTGCGAAGTTTGCAATTTTCAGTCATTTTGTATTTAAATTATACGCACAGAAGTGGTAACCATTTCCCGTTTATAATCTAAAATGACTGAAAATTGCAAACTTCGCAAAGATATATTATCCGCATTTTACAACATTTGGCAACAAAACTTTAGAATGTCACTAATTTTTTGATGCTCTTTCAAGCTGTCATGAAATTTTTGTCAAGACTTGTTGGTTAATTGGGGATTGGTACATTGTTATTAGTTGCCGTCGGTAATTTATAGTGGAAATATTTGCAACTGTTATGTTTTGGCAAGTTGAGTTACTCGGTTGGGTTGTGTAAATAGTCGCCGGAAAACAATAAAACGAGTTTACATAATATTCTAGATCTAGTTGTTGCCGGGTTAAGTCGGTTAGAAAGGTAGCTCGCCAACATTAACACGCCAACGATTTGCTTTCTGCAAGTGCCGCTATAATTATTTATTTTTTAAAGCCGTAATTGCCGCCCTGAATGAGCTATTGTTTATAACAAATTACATTGAGTTTTCTTATTTTTTAGTAAATTGACCCTTACTAAAAGGTATTAAACAATCAAACTCTCGACGAAGAAAATTCGGTTTTATAAAATTATATTATTGAAAATCACTCACAGTTGTATACGCGGTCTAGTCTCTCTCACAGTCACACAGTAACTACATTCCTATCTTTTAACTCCTCTTCATAATAATATAAATGTGTCAATCATGCAATGTTCGTCCCTAATTAAAGTAATAATTAATCCTGCTATTAAATCACAATTATTAAGATATATATATAAACAGTCTCCGACACACTCCCCCATGCAAGTTAGGAGCTAAATTGTATGTTCCTTAAGGAGACTGCGCTTCTAAACTATCGTGTTCGTGGAAAACAAAACTTGAAAATGAATCTAGTGTTAATGTGTAAATATTATATAGTGTTCACATATCTTCTTCTTGATCTTCTGCTATGGCGGTTATTTTTGCTCGTGCATCTACTGCGGCAGCTCTTTTCGGTACGAACGCTCGGGCTCCGGGGTTCAGTTGGACTGTGCCTTCGTTCGCGTTCCTTTTTGTGTCGCACTGGAGTTCTAGGGGATAGAGATGCTGAACGGGTCTTTCTATCTCGCCATTTTCGTCCTGAGCTGAACAGCTCGTGTTCG